GTATCTTATAGTTTGTATATGGCTTGACATTACTCAGTAGATTTTTTTCTAATCTAGGAAAGGTTTACTGGATTTGAGGGGCACTTCAAAAATATGCTTGAGTTATAGAGTTTCACAATCAGTTCTAGAAAGGTTTACCGATACTGACATAGCAAGTGATCTTGATGGTAGGAAATCTACTTCAAGCTATTTGTTCACTTTTACAATAGGAGCTGTGTCTTGGCAGTCTAAGTTATAGAAGTGTATTGCTTTGTCAAGCACAGAGGCTGAGTATATTACTACAATTGAAACAGGTAAAGAAATGCTTTTGATGAAATATTTTCTTCTTAAATTGGGGTTGAATAAAAAAGAGTACATGATATTTTGTAATAGTCAGAGTGCTTTAGATTTGAGTAAGAATGTCATGTACCATGTGCCATGCTAGAATGAAGCATATTGATGTTAGATATCACTAGTTACGTTTAGTGATTGAGGAACAACATATGCTATTGAAAAAAGTCCATCTTATAAGAATGTAGTAGATATGTTGACTAAGATACTTTTTAAGAAGAAGTTTGAGCTCTGTAGTAACTTAGTTTGAATGAGTTCCTTGGCTAAGGTAAGTTCCAATTTAAACTGCTATAATGATAAATCTCCTCCTAATGAGGCTAGAGGGGGAGATTGTTAGGAAAATAGGGTCTAGCCCTATGTAATTGGTTTAAGACAAATCAAAAGCCATGGACTTTGGTCTTTCTTTTTACATAAAGCCCTAGCTATTTAATAAAAAGAGGCGGGACTATTTTAAGGTGGTGTCATAAACTAAGAAAAGAAAAAAGAAAAGCCAAAAAAAAAAAAAGATAGAAAAAGGAGAAGGGAGAGTTGGTTGAACGAAAGTCAATCCATGATCCGATTGAGTTGAAACTTTGTCAATAGATTTATGATTCAGAGTTTTATATTTTGAGCGGTAAAGATCAGTTTAAAGCTTTTTAGGAATAAATCCAAGGTGTATTTATTGAGTCATATATTTTGTGAGATTTCTCCAATTGTCTCTCTAGTTATTGATTAGCTCTAGTTTTAACTAGTAAAAAACTTTGTATATCCATTATTTGATAGTGGAGATTTTTGTGGTAGTTGTGATTTTTCCCTTGACACTTGAGGGTTTTCTATGTAAATCTTAGTATATTATTATTTTTCATGTATTGTTTATTGTTGATTATTGTCTATTACTTTGGGTTATTAGAATAGTCATAATCTTAATAACTAAATTCTAAATTGAATTCATATTCATGGAAATTTTGGTAGTTTGAATTCATACATCAAAGGAAGGCGTCCTTGTATACATTAATTAAAAGTTAATGACATGAATGATTTTAAATTATAGCTAAATATTTAATGTATTTCTAAATTTTAAAATTTTTTATTTTAATATATGAATTATAAATCTATTAATTAATATGTACCCACTCTTGATGTGATTTATTTTAAATGATAATATATGATGAATAAATAATTTTTAGTACAATATTAATTAATAAATTTATAATTTAAATATCAAATTAAAAATTTTTAAAATTTAGATGTCACATTAAATATTTCACTAAAATTTAAGATTCTTTCAAAAAATTAATCAATTAAATAATAACAATATGCAATGAAGTAAAACATCTAAATGAAAAAGTTAATTACTTCCTAAATTCAAATATCAATTCTATCCTTCATTTTTATGTTACTTGTTATTTTTTTATAAATAAATTAAACCAAGAAAATCATATATATATATATATATATATACATATATACACACACACACGTGTGTGTGTGTGTGTTACAGTTTTGTGGATCTCTAATTTACGAATTGGAACCCAAATAAAGGCCGAAAAAATAAAGCCCAAATAAAGAGTTATCTTATTGCCTTTCATTTTAGCCTTCCTTCAGACTGAGACTTAAGACTTCCAACTTCCATAGCCCTTTTTATTTTTATTTTTTCCTTTAAAAATTAAATCTTTGACGTGGCCGTACAAGATCTTGAAGAAACAAAATAATCCGACTCGTTCACTCAACTCGGCGACCACTCAGTCGACTCTTTCGACTAAGTTCCTCAAATTTGTAAAATTATTTTCGTAATTTAGATTCAAATTTTTGAGTAATGTTGATGTTTTGCTAATGAAAATGTGTAAGATGTTGCAAATTTTATCGGATTCAGTGATACTCATATCGAGCATTTTTACAGTTGTAATTGCTTAGGGAAAATGCGATTCGATTGGAGGAGAAGGAGAAGAGGGAGAAGAAGTTGTTGAGCCAAATAATCGAGGAAGCTGATCGATACAAAGTTGAGTTTTATAGAAAGAGGGAGGTCACCTGTGAAAACAATAAAGCCAATAACAGAGAAAGGGCGAAGGTAATGGTGGTATGAAGAATTAAACATTGATGCAGTGGTGATATTCAGAACAAGGAAACAGTTATGTTTCTATCTCAACATGCACATGGACAATGTTGAATTTCTAGTGCTAATATTTGTGAGCTAAGTAGCATCGTAGATGTTATAAAATTTGTTCACCCAGGTGTCATTGATGTCACTTTATCTAACTAGTTTATCAAGGGGGAATGTTACTTAAAACTTATTTTTTCAACTAAATGGATTGATTGAATTGTCTTTTTTTTTTTTTTTTTCTAAAAACTAAAAGAAAAATTATGTTAACCTGCCACAAAAGATGTAGCAGAACAACTTATTTGCATTATTCTGAATTCTGATTTGATGATAATCCACAACAAAGGAAAATTCATTTCATCCTTTTATTATTAAATTAATTACATACACCAATAATTAATTACAATTATTATTTTAATAATAAACATATTTATTATTAAATTTAATTAATTTATACAATTATTTGAATGACAAGCATATTCTTGAAAAGGAAAAGAAAAATTTTTTTAAAAAATTGATTGCCCTAGGATGATTTTTACAATTCAGGAAACTCCTTTTCTATAAAATGGTATTTGCTTGGTTGTATGGTTCCTTGTTCGTGGACAGTGAACCAAAGAAGTTTATGACTTATATTTACTAAATGCAAAGTGATTTGAATGTCATATAAATAATAAAAAAGAGTATACATTTATATCATATATGAAATGTAGAAAAAGAAAATGAATTAATATGAAATTTTGAGTCATCCTGTAATATTTAGATGAATATTTCCAATTGAAATAATAATCTTTGACAATTGAGCATTTTTTACTAAAATATAAAAAATAATTTATTATTTTTTTATAATTGAGAACATTATGAATTGAATTCTAATAATTGAAATTAAAAATTCAACACTATTGTATTATTGAAAAAATAATAATTAAAAAAATTAAAAGTTTATATTTAATATTGTTTTTATTTAATTAATATATTGAAAGGAGTATAAGTGATTGTTTGAAATTTGGTTTTTACATCTCATTTTTCTACATTGTCACTGTTGTTATCGAAGTGGGGGACATTTTGTCACGCCTCAAAACGAGGTATAACACGGTTATATTACCTTAAAGTAAAACCCCAAAGCAATACGAAGCCTAATCCATAACCATTGAACAACTCTCAAATATAAAAGGTTCTCATTAAGTAACACAGCTAGATAACAAGTCTCCAAAGGTTCAAAGTCGAATATTACAACTAAAATAAACAATACTTCATAAAATCCTATATTTTTAAGTAGTTCTTCAATGCTCGATTCTTCTAGCTTTTTTCAAGCTAATTATACTTATCATTCATAACATCTGTAAAAGAAAAAAAAATAGGAAATGAGCAAACTACAGCTCAGTAAGTAGAATTTCATACACTTTACTTGTTTTTAAATCTATGTATATATATGTTTCTAAATGAATGAATGTTTTTATTTCTTTATTTTCGATATATGAAAATGGGATTAAGCATATGATTATTTTGTGTTTCTCTATATAAATGATGGATCATGCTTATGAATGAAATGAGAACATGATTTATGTTTAAAGAACGATTTTGTGATGGCTACGTTTTTACATTCCTGGGAAGTAGGATCATCGACATCAGAACTAGTTCTACGACCCTAGCTAACGGGTAATAGTAGTTAGCAAAGATATGATCATACGACCCTAGCTAACGGGTAATAGTAGTTGGCGTAAGCCTTGGCTAACGGGTTATAATAATTAGCAATGATCATGAGAATGAAATTGTCGATACGGCCAATGTCACAGGTTATAGCAGTGATCGTAGCTAATGATAAACCAATGATAATGATGCTTTATGATAATGATGATTTACGATGATTTTTAATGATTGATCCATGATTTGGTTTGACTACGATATTTGAATGATAACATATTTTACAATGATTTATAAATTTACAAAATGTTTGACAAAACGATGATATTGAGATGTTTTGTTATTATGATTTGATGAATGTTTTGAATGATCTATATGACATGTATGAAACGATGTTTGATCCGGTAAGGTGCGTGAGCCTTTACTTACTGAGCTGTGGTTTGCTCATTCCCTATTTTTTTTTCTTTTACAGATGTTATGAATGATAAGTATGATTAGCTTGAAAAAAGCTAGAAGAATCGAGCATTGGAGAACTACTTAGAAATATAGGATTTTATGAAGTATTGGTTATTTTAGTTGTAATACTCGACTTTGAACCTTTGGAGACTTGTTATCTAGCTATGTTACTTAATGAGAACCTTTTATATTTGAGAGTTATTCAATGGTTATGGATTAAGCTTCGTATTGCTTTGGGGTTTTACTTCAAGGTAATATGGCCATGTTATGCCTCGTTTTGGGGTGTGACACATTTCTCCTAAGCTTTTGCAATAATATATGCATGGTTATGTTTTAAAGATATGAAAGGATCATTCATTTCAAATAATAAATTAATTACATACACCAATAATTGGTGGACAAACTTGCTTTTTATTTTTCTCTTCTCCAACTTGAGTGCTTGTTGGAAAAAGTTTTACTTCTGCAAATACCAGATACAATGTGAAATAAAAGGAATGACAGTACTTTGCCTCGCTTAAGCCTTTCAAGGCCATTGATATGGCTCCTCAGATACCTGAAGCATATGAAAAGGATGAAATCATTAATTTAAACCATCATATTTACTTCGATAGAATGTAACCAACAAACAATTTACTTGCTAAAATCATTTCAACACAGTATTTATCTGAAAAGTAGTGGAAATGTGCCTTAAGTCATGGAATGGTTTGAGTATTTTGTTAAGAATAAAGCAAATTGTTTACCTGCTGATTGAGCAGCATATGAAGTTTGGCCCTCATGATGTAATCGAGTTGGATGAAGCTTGTCTCTAATGGAACAAAGCTTGGTAACAACATCACTCATGTTCATCCGCTCACTTGGGAATTCAGCAGAACAAGTGACACCTATTTCAAATATTGAATTCAAGAATTGAAAATGTCTGTCATTTCCTTGTTTGACTCGCTCTTCAAGAAGAATGGGATCTATAATCTCAATCACTCGTTCAGGCAAAGCTGCCACAACAAAGTTGTGAAGGTTGAAACCATCTTTGAACATTTCGTTAGTCGGCCTTTTGCCCGTAAACATCTCAAGCACAAGGATGCCATAACTATAAACATCACCTTTAGTTGACAACTCACTACCCATCCCATATTCTACAATAAATTCATCACAAATTATATAAATTATAGCAATAATTGCAGAAGAGATACCTGGAAAAATATAAAGATATAGCCTCTGACATCCAAGTTTTAAACTTGCAAAATTACATTCTAATTTGAAGTAATGTAGTCATTTTTTGTTTAACCAAAAACTTCTTCCACATTATATGTTTTGCTTTTGAATTATGTTGTGCTGAGAGAAATTATTAAAATGGCTCAAATGAATAAAATGTACTTACCTGGTGGAGCATAACCAATAGTTCCTCTTAATCCGAGGGAGCTTGACTGAGTAGTAGAATTGTTAAGCCTGTCAGCAGAAAGGATTTTTGCTAAGCCAAAGTCACTTATATGGCCAACCATTTCCTCATCAAGTAGAATATTGCTTGGCTTGAGGTCACAATGAATAATTGGAGTATCGCAATGATGGTGCAGATACTCCAGTGCATGAGCAACATCTACTGCCACATTTACTCTTTGGAAGAAATTCAGGTTTCTCACCGTCTCCTGCTCGTTCATGCCAACAGATGGATGCAGCCAATCCTCCAAGCTTCCGTTTACCATGAATTGATAAACCAATGCTTTAAAATCATTGCCTTGATAATCAATACCTGAAATTGCTGTTAATACCTTGACAAGATTCCGGTGTCTAATGTTCCTCAAGGCCTCACATTCAGCTAAGAAGCTTCTGGAAGCTCCATGAGTAAGAAGATTAAGCACCTTAACAGCAATAACTACTCCACTCTCTTCAAGAGCTCCTTTGTATACAGAACCGAAGTTACCTGAACCAACCAAATTTTGCAAGGAGAATCCATCAGTAGCCCTTAGTATGCTTTGGTATGATAAATGTAAAAGTGAATTTTCTTCACAAGTTGCTGTTGGCTGCTCTTTCTTCTTTCTAAACCACCAAATGATGAAAAATGAGAATACCAAGGTCACTCCTAAAATCACAAAAACAATTGTAATTTTTAATTTGAAAGAAGTGTTTGATCTTCTGGCGGATGCTTTCAAGTTGCATCTGGACAAGTGTAACTCAGGGATGCCTCCACAAAGCTTGCTGTTTCCCTCAACGAATGTAGCAGTTGCATTCTTAAAGACTCCTTCAATTGGTACCATACCCTCAAAATCATTGAAAGATAGATTTAAATACTCTAATGACCGAAAGCTCTGAAGAAATTCTGGAATCTCACCAGTAAGATTATTGTCAGATATGTCTAATGCCACAAGACCTTTCAATAATCTCAAAGACGAAGGAATGGGCCCTTCAAACAAATTGCCATCCAAGAACAGGTACTCCAATGATACACAGCTACCAAGATTGTTTGGAAGTAAACCAGATAACCTGTTTTGAGAAACAACCAAATTACCTAGATTTCTCAGATTTCCTACTTCAACAGGAAGCACACCAGTTAAATAGTTGGATGATAAGTCTACTCCAATGGACAAAGATGAGAGTCCAATTACTTCAGGGGGTATTGATCCGGTAAGATTGTTATAACCAAGATCCAACGCTGCCAAATTTTCGCACTTACCTAGACTTGATGGAATGTTGCCTTGAAGATTGTTACGATCTAGAGCAAGCCTGATTAACATTGTCAAATTTCCAATAGAAGAGGGAATTGCCCCAGAGAGAAAATAATTTTCAAAAGCATAAAATACCTTTAGCTTTTGAAGCCTCCCAATAGAAAGGGGAATGGAACCTGATAGCTGATTTTCTGATATCCCTAGCACTTCCAAATTGATGAGATTTCCAATCCCAGCTGGTATTCTTCCCCATATTTTGTTTTCTTGCATTACTAAAAACGAAATAGTGATAGACAAATTACTAATGCACTCGGGTAATTCTCCTCCAAGATTATTTTTGCCTATGTCTAGACTTGCCAGTTTGGTAGTATTGGTTAAAGAACAAAGGAAGTTTAAGTCACTTGCACCCCCATTTCCAAAATGGTTTCTGGATATGCGCAATCGTGATAATTTTTTCAGCTTTTCAAATGAAGGCAAGTTTCCACTAAGTTTGTTTTGTGTAAGTTGAAAGACCATGAGATTTGAGGCATTGGATATTGAACTCGGGCATTGTCCAGTGATTTGGTTTTGCCAAATGGAAAAGATTTCAATATACGGCATAGTGATTCCTAAGTCAGAAGGAAGATTACCTTGAATCATGTTTTCACCAATATCAAAAACTATCATATTGGAGAGATTGAAAATTGAGTTAGGAACAATACCAGAAATTGCATTTACTGATACAGAGAAAAATGAAAGATTTGTCAATTGCCCAAGAGCTTCAGGTACTGTCCCACTTAGACGATTCCCACCCAAAGAAAGCTTCTCCAGAGATGACAAGTTCCCCAAGGAAGGAGGGATACTCCCTCTTAAACTGTTGTTGGCTAAGTTTAACGCATTCAGGTTTGACAATAGACCAAGCAAACCGGGTATCTCTCCAGTTATCTGGTTGCCTCTCATATGAACAAATGTAAGCTCAGAACAACTTGACAAATTGGAAGGAATTTCACCACTGATGGAGTTATTGGCCAGTTGTAATATTTTCAATCTTCTTAAACGTCCAATTTCTTGAGGAATTTTGTTGTTGAAATTGTTTCCTTCAAGATCCAACACCCTGAGAAAGCTCAAATTTCCAATGTTTGGTGATAGAGATCCCGTGAGTTTTTGGAATTGCAATTCCAACCTGGTGACTCTTCGGTGTCTGCAACCGCACGTAATACCATACCATTGGCAAAAATGGATGGAACTATTCCAGGAATGCATAACACTGAGCTGATCACCGGTTATCTTGGCTTTGAACTCGAGTAGAGCTTGATGATCTGTGCCATTTCCAGTAACTACAGGGGTTGCTAAACCGAGCAAATTAAGACCCTGCAAGTTGAAGCATGAGAGAAGAGTTAAAACTTCAACGTAAATGAGGAAAAAAGAGCCGAACACTTTCAAATGCTTGTTCGATAGCTCCATCAACCCGAATCAATTGTCAATTGATGAGATTGATTGGTATTTGAGAGTGCTTGGGTTCATCAACAAGAACTAGAGTGCAATATAAAAATTTCGAAACTCTGATATTATGCAACTATATGTCCCGTTAATTGGTTCAAGTTTTTTGACTTTGAAAGTCACGTTTGTAGAAATTGCTTAAGTGGATCCATTTGGGGTTGGCTTTTTTCCTGATTTTTTTTATCATTATTCGGCAATGCTTTCTACAGTGGATAGTTTCCTCCACTTCTATATGTTTTTGGTCACTTTCATTATCTATTCATCTTGTGGGGTTTTTTTCTTTTTAATCTTAATATATACTCCTTGGAATATGTTTTTTTTTTTTTTTTCGCTTTTAGACTAAATGTTTGTATAAGTGATATTAAACTGAGAACCAGGAAATTGAATGGAAATAGATTAAAACCTGTCCGAGAGAAAACTAAGAGAGTAGCACAATTGGTAGAAATTAAAAATCATACATGAAATCAGCTTGAACATGGTTTTCTCAGCTGGATCCCAACTTCTCAGAGAAATCTTTATTATGTGTTTCTGATCAATAGTTTAGACAATAAGGAAGGAAATTAATTTATCATTCAATTGGAATCATATGATCATTTCTGATTGATCAGTCAGTCAGATAATAGTTTCAAAAAATAACTGCATGTTGTCTTTGGAAATTCCTTTTTTAGAGTTTTCTTATTGTTTTGTTAGATATATTTATAGGGTTGATTGGTAGAAATTAATTCATATTCAAAGGCTAGACCATTTAATTAATCCTTTTCATTCCAAATGTGTCTATAACACCACCTATCAAGATGAATTTAATTAGTTTTCATGTTTTCTACTCAATAACAATGGGATAATCCGAAATATTTAAAATTTAATAAAAATACTTGTTTATTAAATTTTAATTTTAAAATATATTTTAAAGTATTAAATATTCATATGTTATTTTTTTTAATATTTCAATATATTTCTTAAAAATTAAGCTTATTAAGCCCGAAGAGTTAGTCAAGCCTTAGGCAAGAATTTTCCTTTATTTGCGTACTTTATGCCTTTATTTTCATTTGCAGGATTAATTGGAAGTCTTTAAGGGACATTGTAGACTAGGTAATATTTAGGAATATGACCAAAAAAGGAAAAAGACTTGCACCATAGGAGCAAAGAATCGGGGGATTCTGACCAAATAATGAAAATGAAAAATGAAGAAGTGGGGCATGTTGCATTTACGTTTACCTTGACCTGATTTTTTTGGTGTGAACTCATTTTTTTTAGTCCAAACTCCAAATTCACCTATCAATTTCAACACATAAAGAAAAAACTTTATAGTAATAATTATGTCTACGTCACTTCCAACTGCCTCAATGACAATTAGCTTTTGATTGGTAAATAGATAGACATATTTCAATTGATGTATAATTGTTATATTTTTTCAATTATACTAATTTTCGATACATATGTGTAATACATACTACGGGAGTTTAAATTTTTAATGATGTTTTTTTAACATTTAGCAATGTTTATAAACATCATTAAAAGATTTACGGTGTTTGCAAAAAAAAAAAAAAAAAAACAGTTAAAGTGTCGATTATACGCATGTTAGGAAAAATAGTGATATTTTTTATAAAAATAATATTTTTGATAACAATAAATAATATTTCTAAAAGTTCAATTCAATAAATAATATTTTTGATAATAATAAATGCTAACAGTTTAATTTTGATTTTGGTATATATAAGTAAATTTTCATAATTTTTAATATAATTTTGATTTTTATAATCTTTGATATGTTTTGTTAACTTTTGTTAAAAGTTTCATAGCCTTTGAGAAAATTTTGGTAACTTTCAATACAATTTTATTAACCTTCAATATTAGTTTGATAATTTATAATATAAATTTTTAACCCTTGATATATACAAATTTAGTAATTTTTATAAAATTTTGATAATCTCTTTATGTAATTTTAGTAACCATTCATATAATTTTGATAATTTTGATATATATTTTAGTAATTATTAATTAAATTTATACCATTATATATCTAACAATTAATTCCCACAGCAAAGCGTGGACTCCATTTTAGTATAAGATAATTTTTTTATATATAATAATGTTATTGCTTAATTTAAATTTAAAATTTTTTTACTGGATTTTTTAATAAATAAGTTAATGGTAGGCTTATTCTAGCCTTCCAAGATGAAAGTTTAATTTTCCTTTTTGTTAGTAACCAAAATTCAATCTATAATAACTTCAAATATATATTACAAAAAAAGTTATCAATGAGTGTCACTTAAATTATTATTAATTTATTGTTATGTTATCAACTATTTAATATTAAATTATCATTAATTTATTATTAATTTATGAGTGATTTATTATTAAATTATTGATTATTTATTATTAATTTATGAGTAATTTATTACTACATTATTAATGATTTATTATAAAATTATAACTTATTATTAATTTACTAATGATTTACTTCAAATTATCAATAATTAACGAATGTGATTTACTATTAATTTTTCCATGAATTACTTCAAATGCATACGAATTTGGCTTCAAGGATTGTATATCGTGAAGTGGGGTTTGATTGAGATTAATAAATTGCAATTTTGGTATTCGAATTATGGGAATAACAGTCCATAATGTTGAATATTCTTTGTCAATTGTTGGACAGTCATCATCACTCATCTAGAATTCAAGACATCAACCAACCTCTTTAATAATAATAAAAAAAAATTGTACTATATACCAAATGTTTATAATTAAGTAAAAAATTATATTTCTTTTCATCCAATTATATTTTTTTAATGAAACTTTTTATCAAATAATGAACTCAACTTGATAATTAGTTTAAGCAAATCATGGAATTATGCTACTCCATCATTTTTTTTAAAAAAAATTGTAAATTAAAAAAATATTCATGTACTATACTTTAAAATAATAATGATTAAAATTTCATAAAAATAATAAATTTAGATACGATATTTCAATAATTGTAGACCTCAAAATTCAAGAGCCAAAGAAGTGATTGACGAAAGCAATTAATGTCCGACTAAAAAATTCCAACCCCATTGATGGTTAATTAAGAAAAAGTCATCCATCACGCTTAGGGGTGTAATCGAATCGAGTCGAGCCGAGCCGATACAATGACAAGCTCAAGCTTGACTCTAAACTCGCTACTCGATACTCAGCTTGAACTCGATCAAGTTTCATTTTCCTACCTCAAACTCAATTCGTGATCGAAATCGAGCTACTCGAATTTACTCAATTAAGCTCGATTAATATATAAAAAAAAAAGCTCAATTTTTATACTAAAAAAAACTCGATTATTTGTGCTCGAGCTCGAGCTCAAGATCGTTTACAACTAATTTTTATCAAACCTAATAAATATTATATTTTCAAGATAATAATAATAATAATAGCAACAACAACAACAACAACAATAATAATAATAAAAACTTACACAACAACCAAATTCAAGCAAATAAAAGTCTCATTAAATGATTCAAATATAACACACAAATATAAGACATAATGCAACTTAGAAATTAAAATCCTAATTCAAAGATATTAAATATCCAAGCAAATAAGTTCACAAATAAGTTACAACAAACCAACAACAATGCATATGCTGCCTTCACAATATTATGTCTTCAAATGAACATTGGGCTCATATTGTTTTTCAATAAACCTACATAAAAGAATAATTACAAAACAAAGAAATTATAATTAACAATAAGAATAATAGTAAAAGCACCCATGTAAGAAAAAGATTGTAATATTATTACAAAGATCAATAACTTTAAATTTTTAACATTAGCATCAACATGGATTTTATCTTGTCAGTTGCCTTATAATTAGAGCAAAAAAATATAAACAGTATCTTCTCAATTGCCTTAACATGAGTTTTTATAATTAGTTAACCTATGGTTCGTAAACTATAATGCAAAAAGCTCAATCTAGACTAGCTACCACCTATTTTTCTTTAGTAATGTTGTGACAAATTAAAGGCATTTAATAATAATATTTCTTACATATTTAGAAGACATTAGATATCCTCACTTTAGGGGATTTTGAGTGCAATCTCAACTGATTTCTTCTTTTTCTATATAAATAAAGTAAAGAAAAATAAAAGTTAAAAATTAGATTAAAGCAATGATAGTCACCCAATAACAAAATAATAATAAAAAAAAACTCATTTTGTTCTTTTTCTTCACTCCATGAAGATTCCGACATTAATCTCCTCCATAAAGTAATGCTTGCACTGTGTCAGGAGATAAAGAAGCACGATAAGTTTCAATAACTCTACCTCCTGCACTAAAGGTAGCCTCTGAAGTTACTGTAGTGATAGGAATAGCAAGTATATCTCGAGCCATCTTGGATAAAATACGATACTTTAAAGTGCTTACTTTCCACCATTCCAAAGCATCAAACTTAGTGGAATCTCTTTCACAGATAAAACAACCCTCAGCTAGGTAGACATCTAGATCAGATTGTTATGGTTGAGCAGTTTTAACTGATTTTACATAATTTGTAAATTCAGACCAACCAGAAGAAGAAGCTTATATATTCATACCACTAATACTATTATCATGCACTTGAGTTTCAGCACTATGCTCATTGCCAAATTGATACTCATGAGCATATTCCTCATAAATCTCATAAAGGGCATCTCGAACTCTAACAATATTTTCTCTTGCTTCTCTATCAGGGTATTTAATTTAGGCATTCATAAGGGTATTTAATTTAGGAATTCTTATTTAAACCACCTTTCAGCGTGAATTGAAAGCCTAACATAAAAGCATTTAATAAAAAAATGGCCCTTAAAAAGTATGTCATGAAAAAATATCCTCCCAACTACATCAAACCCAAGTACCCATCTTCAGGTCTTAAAGTTCATGCTACCAAACAAAGTCCTAACCAAAGGCTATCATTCTCTATTATTAAGCCACCCTGGCTCTTCACTTTCATTGAGTAATCGTTCAAATTCTCTTATAAGTCTTCATAT